AATCTTGATTCCAACTTGTGCTTCATTCAGTCCAGCATTTCGCATGATGTACTCTGCATATAAGTTAAATAAGCAGGGTGACAGTATGCAGCCTTGATGTACTCCTTTCCCTATTTTGAGCCGGTCCATTTTTCCATGTCTGTTTTTAACTGTTGCTTCTTGGCCTGCATACAGGTTTCTCAGGAGACAGGTCAGGTGGTCTAGTATTCCCATCTCTTTAAAAATTTTCCACAGTTTGTTGTGATGCACATAGTCATAGTCAGTGAAGAAGAAATAGATTAAAAAAAAAATTCCCTTGCTTTTTCTGTGATCCAATGGATATTTGCAGTTTGATCTCTAGTTCCTCTACTTTTTCTGAATCCAGCTTGTATATCTGGAAGTTCTCAGTTCACATACAGTTGAAGCCTAGCTTGAAGAATTTTGAGCATTACCTTGCTAGTATGTGAAATGAGTGCAATTGTACAGTCGTTTGAACATTCTTTGGCTTACCTTTCTTTTGAATTGGAATGAAAACTGACCTTTTCCGGTCCTGTGGGCACTGCTGAGTTTTCCAAATTTGCTGGCATAGTGAGTGCAACAGCACCATCTTTTAGGATTTGAAATGGCTCCAAATGAATTCCATCACCTCCACTAGCTTTGTTCATGGTCATACTTCCTAAGGCCCCCTTGACTTCACACTCCCAGATGTTTGTCTCTAGGTGAGTGACCACACCATCTTGGTCATCTGGTTCATTAAGACCTTTTCTGTATAGTTCTGTGTATTAGACCCTTGCTGTTTCTGTCCTTGATTGTGCCCATCTTTGCATGGAACGTTCCCTTGGTATCTCATTTTCTTGAAGAGGTCTCTAGTCTCTTCTCCTTCTGCTGTTTTCCTCTATTTCTTTGCATTGTTCACTCAGAAGGCTTTCTTATCTTTTTCTTTGGGATTCTGCATTTACTTGGGTTTATCTTTCCCTTTCTCCTCTGCCTTTCATTTCTCTTTTCTCAGCTATTCATAAGGCCTCCTCAGACAACCACTTTGTCTTCTTGAGGTGAATATATCATTTGTTTCAAGATCACAACATAATGATTTGATGTTTGTATATATTGCAAAATGATCACGTTAACATCCGTCACCATATGTAATTACAAAATTTTTCTTGTGGGAACTTTTAATATATACTATTAGCAACTTTGTTATGCAGTGCAGTATTAACAACTGTAGTCATCGTGCTATATATGACATCCTTATGACTTGTAACTTGAAGTTTATACATTTTGACCTCCTTCACCCATTTCACCAATCCCTCCTTCCCCACGTACATTTGGCAACCACTAATCTGTTCTGTGTATCTGTGAATTTGGGAATTTGTTGTTTTAGATTCCACATATAAGTGATATCACATGGTCTTTGGTTTTCTCTGACTTATGTCATTTAGCATACTGTCCTCAAGTTCCGTCCGTTTTTGCAAATGGTAAGGTTTCATGTCATTTTTTATGGCTAAAGAATATTCCATTGTGTGTCTATATGTGTGTGTATAAAACACACACACAATTTTTATCTATTCATCCATCATAGACACTTAGGTTGCTTCCATATGTTGGCTATTATAAGTCATGATGCAATAAATTTGGATGTGTGTCTTCATCAGTTAGTGCTTTTGATTTCTTCCTATAAATATCCAGAAGCAGATATGCTGGATCATATGTCAAACTCTATTTTTAATTTTTTAAGGACCCTCCATACTGTTTCCCATAGTGGCTGCACCTATTCAGTCTAACGCATACCAAGTATTCCCTTTTCTCCACATCTTCACCAACACTTGTAATTTCTTGTTTTTCTGATAATAGCCATTCTGACAGGTGTGAAGTGCTATCTCACTGTGGTTTTGATTTCCATTTCCCTGATTATTAGGGATGATGAGCATATTTTATGTACTTGTTGGCCATCTGTACTTTTTTGGAAAAATGTCTGACACTCTACCCATTTTAAAATGATTGTTTTGCTATTGAGTTGTATGATTTCTTCATGTTTTATATCTTAATCTCTTATCAGATATATAATGTAAATATTTTCTCCAATTTTGCTTTCCATTTACTGGCAGTTTCCTTTGCTGTGCAAAAGCTTTTTGGTTTGATATACTCCTACTTGGTAATCTTGTTGCTTTCTAAGTTCACATTCAAAAAAAATCTTAGTTGAGACTGATTTCAAGGAGTTGATCACCTGTTTTCTTACAGAAATTTTATGGCTTTACATCTTATATTCAAACTTTACTTGATTTATAGTAAATTCTGTAATTTCCAGCTTCATTCTTTTGTACGTGGCTGTTGTTTTCCCAATACCATTTTTGAAGAGACTGTCATTTCCCAATTTTATATTCTTGGCTCCTTTAAGTGAATTGGCTGGTCAAGTTCGTATCTAGGCGCCTTCCAGGTGGGCACTGTCTCCTCCCTCTGATTTGGGCCTGGGTCTGCGTGCATGTGCACTCCCGAGTTGGTTAATTCCTTTGCTGTTTGCTACAGTCCTGTGGTTTGAATGTCAACTTGTGATTCCTGTTGGTTATCAGAATTAGCTGATCCAGGGTCCTTCCCTCAGGCAGCAGCCATGAAAGCTGGGGCATCAGACATGTGCATGATCTCGTCTCAGGGACATACTGGTGACTTGAAGCAAGCTTGAGGTGTCTGCTGGTTTTCCTAGTCTCTGAGGAGGATCACAGTCAGCCCCTACAGGAGTGCTAAATTAGAAGCCTGAACCCTAAGCATCAGCTTTCTCTCCTCTGTGTATTTATTAAAAAAAATATTTTTGAATATAACTGCTTTACAATGTTGTGATGGTTCCTGCCGTCACATGAATTAGCTGTATGCATACATACACCCGTTGCCTCCTGGGCCTCCGCCCCACCCTTCTAGGCCATCACAGAGCAGCACGCTGAGCAGCTTCCCACATGGTACTGTATGTGTCAGTGCTACTCTCGGTTTGCTCCACCCGTCCTCTTCCCCTGCCGTGTGCACAAGTGCTTCTGTACCTCTGCATCTCTACCAAGTATCAGCTTTCAAATTGTTTTTGTTTCCCAAGTGCATAAAGTCTTAAGTGTCTTAAAAGTTCATAGCTAGTGGTGAGACAAGTCAGATGCTTGAATGCAAAGATGGGTATGTTGCAAGTTACCTATTGAACGCCATGGCTAAAGTAAGTTTCTCAGATGGATCCAGCAAATCTCCAGGACATTGTTAATGGGCTACATATTGTTTAGACCCCCAAGCACACACCCCCTGCACCCATGTCATAATTTGTATGTAACTTAGCAATTACAAGACTATAACTATGCCCCAAAAGATTCCTCAACATCAGCCATTTATTGGTTTCATTTTAATGTTAATACATTCTAATATACATTGTAAAGATTTATTATTTTGTACTCTAAAGATCTCTTGAAAAATTCACTTACTATTTGTGTGGATAATTATTCTAGTTAAGACAAAAAAGATGAAGCAATATTCTTGGGGAATGCCACCAACTGAATACCAATACTCCAGAAATTTACAGCTTATAACACAACTTTTATTAGAAAAGTTATACATAACATAGCATCAACTATTTTCAAGAACAATATTAAACCCAATAAGCAACAAAAACCAGACTAACAAAATGTGTAACGAGAAACTAATGACCTTTCTATAATCAAACATTCAATTATCTACAATGTCTTTATACAAAGGGAGAAAAATCCATGGTTTACAGGCACATGATACTGAAATAAAGCGGCAATAGCAATTTTATACAATTACCATTCTCAAGAAACTGAATCATCAAAACAGTAATTACGAGTTCACAAATTTAAAACATCTCACATAATTTAAAATTATTGGGTATACACTGAGGTCTGATTTTTTTTCCACACAAGTGCCAACACTTACGCTAGAACTTTTAGTGTGTAATTTGCCCTAAAAAGTTAAGACATGTTTTGATAATCATAACAGTTACATGATTTTTGTGCTACCTGGTCTGTTAATATTTAAAGCCTTTATTTGGATGTTTTTCTTCACTTAAATTACAGGAAACTATTGGATTTCTGTTGCAAAGCTATTACAGTTCCAAACAAAGGAGTGTGCAAGCTTTGGAAAAAAAAGATCAATACTAAAACTTACAATAAATATCAAAGAAGCCATTAGTTTTTACAGCGCTGTCTGCTTAAAGGTTAAGTCCTCCAGTTGTACAATTTCCCATCAGTCTGTCCTTTCAGTTAGCATAGCAATTTCTATTTTCATGATCGGAATACTCAAATATGTCCAAACATCTTTTTAAAACCTTGATTTATAGCTCCTGGAAAATTATAGATGCTTTTAATATTCATTCTACTCTAAAAACTCTATTTCTGCTCATTTTAGAGTCTCACTAAAACAACAGATTTCAGTATAGTAAGATTCATTAAAAAGTTTCAAATGGAATGATTTACAAAATAGGGCACTTTAAACCAAGTCCTATCTTTTTGTAGTTACAGTACAATTAGTTTCACATTCCCACCCCCCCGCCCCCCATGGTGAACTGTGAAATTTTACTTTAAAACTCATCCCGAGAAGACAGTGTCTGTTTGGGGAACCATCCCTGAAGGACAATGGTCCCTGCTAAGACTGCTGGGTGTTGCTGATGGGAAAAGACAATTTCTGTCAAAGAGTCACACTACTGTTCTTAACTGTCAGGTGTTTTTTTCCTGAAACGTTCTCCTTTATAATGGAGAACTAAGATGAAAACCCCCACCTTCTGCTGCTACTCAATTGTATGCGCCAATATTGCACACATCTGTTCTGGACTGTTAAATTAATCTTGGGGTGCTTGCTTTCTCCACCAGAATACAAACACCATACAAGCAGTTCTGCTTTAAGAGGAAATGGGTAAATTTAAAATACTGGAAAAAATGAAAAGAAGGCAGAGACTTTGTACAGACAAAAATTAAATTTTCAGGAAGGGTTTTGCGTGCCGTGCACACTAGTGCAAGGAACAGTAGCACTGGCGCGGCAGCTGCTCAGATAATGTGGAACCTCGGTCCCGGCGTGGCAATGATGTCACTGTACGGTTCTTCCTGTGTCAGCTCGATGGCTTGCTGCTTTTTAAGAACCAAGAAGCTGTAGAACTTTGCTGCAGCTTGCTTTCTGTTCGTGTTTCGGCACAGCTCAAGCAAACTGATAGATTCAGCTCCAGTTTTAGCAAGAGCTCGCTGAAATTAAAAAAAAAGGATTAAATGAAGGCAATCAGCAAACCAAAGTAGTAATTTTAGAAGCATACTATCTTTGGATAGTATGCAAATGTTTCTCATGTTAAAAAAAGCAAAGGGACAATGTTAACACAGACTCATTTCTTTGTAGATTTAACTGAACTGATAAAACACACTAAATGTAGCACTTACAGTTTTGCCAACTTTCAACTATCCTTTGAATCTAATTTAGGAGACCCTGAGCATCTCACCTGGTATTTCACAGACACTCAAGCTATCTCCTCTGCATCTGATACATGAAGGCCCAAGGATAGGGGACACTCTAACCCGGTACAATGAGTCAACACATTAAATTTGCTCAACCAAAAATAAGATGTATACACACACCAAGGAGCTCTGCTTTGCAGAGTAACAATGGCAAAGTGTTCACCTGGATGCTTTCCAGGCCTGATTTTAGCCTAAGAGCTTATGTATTAAAGTAGTTTAAGGTATGTGGTTTTGGAAGAAGTTTCACAAAAGGCAGGCTTGCTGGTTATATAACATGTAAGTTTTTTTCCTTTTAAGGAAACAATGCCAAAAGCCTTTGATGAAATTTTTTCTCTAAGCCTTCACTGGCATACCTGAAGACCATGAAGCATCTGCTGGGTCCTTTTGTTCCACCTTCTTTCCTCTTGATCCTGATCACCTCCTGAAGCATCTTCATCCTAAGTGAAAATGTCCCCACACAAAAACAAACTGACAAAACTGCTATAAAATGAAGCATTTCTGTTGTCTCCTGAAAGCTCTAAATTAAACTGTATTTTGGTTAGTGGACAGAACACTTAGCATTTAGTTCAAAGTTTTTTTTTAAATTACACAAGAATGTCCTCTGTGCATTTAGCTGATTCTGTACTGATCTAGAAGCATGGGATCTACACAGTGCGGTCCATGGACTAATGCTGGCAAGCAATGGGTTATTGGCCGCCGCTAAGATAAGAAACTTATATCAGGTGTTTCGAAAGAAATGGGCTATAATTTATAATATATATTTAATTGTAATAGCCTGGTTCCCAGTCACCTGCCACCTACAAGACTGAGGTTGGCACCAGGCAAGAGCTGAGATACTCCCAAACTATGTTGGCACTATACATAATACCCAAAGGACCAGGAGTTAACAATTTCAAAAATATCAGAAAGTATAATTTTAAATATTAATTGAACACAGTCTGAGATACTCTAGAACACAGGCTGGAAGAACTCTGGGGCTAAATTCTGACTTTAAAACAATATAAGGCTCATAATCAAGCCCTAAATGGTTATGAAACCTATGCTGGCATAAATTACAAATATGAACAGATGGTAATGAGAATTAGTCTTGGAAGAAACTTTAAACATAAAGGTTTAAATAAAATATTTGACAGGACATCAAAAATATCTAAGTCTTCTATAACAATCTTAAAGATCTAACAAAAGCGGGGGGTTGGGAAGACAAAAGACCCTGAACAGCCAAAGTGTGCATGAGGAAAAGGAAATCCATTCCCAAACTACCTCTACTTTTTTAAAAAATAAAAATCAGATTAGCCAAGTCACATCCCACTCCACTCTAATGAAAAACAAACCCCTCACAAATATAGAGGTTATACAAGAGAAGATGTTAGTAGCAGTAAGAACTGACCCTCAACCACAAGAGAAGAGCAGCTTACAATTTAGAAGTCAAGAAATCAGTCAAAGGGCAAACCTCTTGTCCTTCAAAAATCCACAAGGGACCGAGTGAGTTATTTAACACAGCATAAAACTTGAGGGTCTCGATGGTCTAGAGCAGTGGTCCACAACCTTTCTGGCACCAGGGACCGGGTTTTGTAGAAGCCAATTTTTCCATGGATGGGGTATGGTGTGATGATTTGGGGATGAATCAAGAGCATTACATTTATCGTGTGCTTTATTTCTATTACTACGTTGTGATATATAATGAAATAAGTATAAAACTTACCATAATGTAGAGCAGTAAGAGCCCTGAGCTTGTCTGCCTCCAACTAGATGCTTCCATCTGGGGGTGACAGGCGACAGGGGCAGGCGCGCCCCAGCACTAGCATCACCGCCTTGGCGCTACTGGCATTAGATAATCATAAGGAATGCACAACCGAGGCCCCCTGCATGCGCGTTTCACAGTGGTTTGCACGCCTGTGACAATCTAGTGCTGCTGCTGATCTGACAGGAGGTGGAGCTCAGGCGGTATGAGGATGGGGCGTGGCTATAAATATGGATAAAACTTCGCTTCCTCACCTGCCGCTCACCTCCTGCTGTGAGGCCTACTTAGTTCCTAATAGGCCTTGGACCAATGGTTGGGGACCCCTGGTCTAGACCACTAAGAATCTGGCTAAGTTTTGCACTTATTCAAACATTTTTATCACTCTGATAATTAACTCAGCTCCAATATGAAAAATAATAACGAGCTGGCTGAAGATTTTCACTAAACCTGGAATGGGAATTTACTCGTCAGATCTTTTTTACATTTCCTTACCTCCTCCTCTTCGTCATCTTCTTTCTCCTTCTCCTTCTCTTTTTCCTTTTCTGGTAAAAGTTCTAACTCTGGAATTAACTGACAGATATTTGGAGGTTCTTCTGGGGGCAGCTCTACAGGAGGAATTTCCATCTGCTCTGCCTGCTGAGGCTTAAAGCAATAAAAACAAGGCAATTTAAGGATGCACATTTTAAGGGTAGCTTCTTTTAAGTATGCAGTTGCTGCAGTTTTCAAAATGAAAAGAAATACTGGGGTCACACCTCCACACTACCTCATAATCAAAAACTGATTACAAGTCTCAACATTAGTTTACAAAAGAAAATCCGTTCACTGTCTTATTATCCTAGAGCAAAGGTGCTTTGTTTTTATACCTACTATTTGCAAACACTAACAAAAAACCCTCAAAACTTTCTGTATTAACATTTTAGGAATAAACAGAATCCACGGACTCCAGGGCAATGCAAAAAGGCTCTAACATTAATTCGCCTGGCACAGGCAACCATTACTGTATAAGATTGCCTTAAGGTTATTGCAACTCAGCTTGAGTGCTAAATAGGCCTTTGGGCTTTTCCTGAAGCAAATAATACAAATGAGGAGACTATTTTTCTGGGTCCATCTCTTGTATTTTCTTCTCTGACTTAATACAAACAAATGAGAACATTAAAATACTCACAAAGGAACAATTATCCAGAGAGTGGAGACTAGAGCAACCCACCTGCTCCCCTTCCTGAACTCAAAAATGCACCCAGCCTTTTACAACTCCTTAACACCAGGGGGGGCTTAGAGAACTAGTTCTTAAAATTCGCAAGGAATATTCTTTTGCCAGTGTCTTGATGGAGGCTGAACCAAGAGCCTAAGGCACCAAAAAGTCTCCCTTTGTCCAAATTAATGTATTCTATAGACTTAAGCTTGGGAAGTTTCAAACCAGACCAACTCCTTCCTTTTCACTTACCACAGGACACTGAAGTGAACTTAATGGTAGCCAGTTTAAATAGAGTAGCAAGATGCTACTTTACTTTTCGGACAAATATATTCTAGTTTCTTAACAAGATAGCCTGAAATTACTTTGTACTATAGATATGCAGGAATATTTGCTAAACAATAAGCCAGAATCTGAAAGAGAACAGAGGCCTAGGAATAAATGTACACTATATGGTCAATTAATTTAGCACAAAGGAGCTAAGAGTATACGAGGAGGAGAGGACAATCTCTTCAATAAATGGTGCTGGGTAAACTAGACAGCCACATGTATAAGAATGAAATGGATTAAAGACTTGAATCTAAGATTTGAAACCATAAAACTCCTAGAAAAAAACACTGGTAAGAAACTTATTGGTTTTGACAGACTTTTTTGTATTTGACACCAAAAGCAAAGGCAATAAAAGCAAAAATAAACAAGTTGGACTTCATCAAACTAAAACACACTACAGAGGATACCATCAATAAAATGAAAAGGCAACCTACAGAATTGGGAAATATCTGCATATCATTTATCTGATAAGAGACTAATACTCAAGATATATACACAACTCAACATAGCTCAAAAGCAAAACAAACTTCCATGTTCACAGCTAAGCTATGAAAACAACCTAAGTGTCCATCAATACATAAATGGATAAAGAAAATATGATACACACACACAGATATATGATTCACAAGAAATTATGCCTTTTGTGACAATATGGATGAACCTGGAGAGCACTATGCTAAGTGAAAGGAAAGACGAGTCCTATATGCCAGCTGTATCACTTACATATGGAATCTTAAAAAGCTGACATTCATAGAAGCAGAGAGTAAAATGGTGGTCACGAAGGCTAGAAGGTGGAGGAAATGAGATGTAGTAGCAGATGTTGGTCAGAGTATAAACTTCCAGTTTTAAGTAAGTTTAGATACTTGAAAGTTGCTTAGAGTAGATACTGTGTGACAAGAAAAAAAATCTAATTCTGTAACGTGATGGATAATAACTAAACTTATCATAGTAATCATTTCACAATATATACATGTATCAAGTCATTATATTGTACACCCCAAACTAATACAATTTATATATCAATTTTATCTCAATAAAAATGGAGGAAAAATGTTCCATCTTGCTAACAGCTATTTATCAGCAAGAAGTTTGTTCTATTTTACTCAAAATGTATTTAACAGGTTCCTTATGTTGCTTTTCTTATTCTATCTAGAATTGTCTGATTCACCATGGGCTAATGTTTGAGAAATAAAATTAGAACCAAGTTCAGTGTCAAGGATTCCATATTAGCCAAGGATGCTCAGGCCACTCCGAAGCAAGACTACCCAAGAAAACAACAACTCCTAAACTAAAGCAACGCCCACTCAGGGCACACTGTGTTTAGACCTCTGGCTGCCATTTTTTCTCTCTGGATCCAGTCCTTGATATTTTCTGCCCAAACCAAGATACTTCAAAAGGTCTCCTTAAATAACACTTGCTACTACTAGGGATCTAAAATGCTGTCAGAACATCCCCAACATTTTGATGGAGAGATGTGCTTACAGGGATCACGGGTTCTGGGTCAATTTGTCCCGCTTTTCGTTTAACTCCCTGAGGTGGCGGCGGGGGCATGGCTGACTCATCCAAGTTTGTCCTGCTGGCTTCCATCGGCTCCTGGAGGCGGCTTGGCTCTTCCAAAATGGGCTCATCTACGATTGGTCATATGAAGAGAAGACTTAGATCATCAGTCCTTAACAATATTTTAGGACCATTTAATATTAATATGCTACAACATAGGTACTTTCCCTAGAACGAAGGCAGAATAAAATTTTACCTTCACAAAAGTTACTCAACTTAATACATTCAGAAGTGGGAGGGAGCTTTAAAAGCACAAGTGCCACTTCCAGTCCAAGGCAGGACAATCCTTTAGCAGACTAGCACTCAGCCAAGTCCTAAACCTTAAACTTTCTGAAAACAAAGTTTCCCATCTAACTAAGCAATCAGAGAATATAAAGCATGTATTTCCCTGTTCAAAAATTTGAGTACATTTCTTTGTTCCTGATTTCTTTTACTTTGGCAATAATATAGGTAAAATTTAAGCCAAATGTTCACTCAAACTTTATGAGGGAACTATTCTAATAGAACAGACCGATAACATCACGCTGCTGATGTTGCTGCTGCTGGTCCTCTCTGGGAACCTCTGGATTTTCAAATTCTTTGAGGAATTCATCCAAATTATCAGCCTCTCCTCCTTTCCTCCTTTTTCGAAGATCTTCTGGTACTAGTGGTGTAAGACAGCGTGTAAAAAGCTATAAAAAATTAAAAAATCAATTATATAATCTCTACTACAAATCACAAGAAATGAAAACCTACCACTAACATTACAATGTTTTAATAGTCGGTATATATATATATAAAATTGAGCACGATTTCTACTTAATGTTATACCATATTCACACTCCATTCTATAATTTGAAGCCCTGGAAAATTTTCATTGCAGTAATTTTAGAAAATTTGAGGATGAAGGTTTTTTTATCCATTGTCTAACTTGGAGATTAAGTTTTATTTACCTGCAGTTTATTTTCACTTTCATACACTTAAACCTCAACCTAACTGAAATCATACCCAATAGCTTTACATAGTACCCTTTTCACTTAATGATATGGTAATTTTATCAACTATTATTTCTAGTATTTTTAATGACTGAATATTCCACTGAGTGGACATACATATGCGTGTGCATATATATGCCATGCCTGAAAGATTTTTTAATATTTTAAGGTTCTTTAGAGAAATTTAACTGTAAATAATATTATTTAACATCTTCATGGAGTAGTTTTTTCCCCCATATTTTAAATTATCTCCTCAGGAAAAATTACTGACAATGAAATCACTAAGTCAAAAAAAAAAAAAAATCTTAAGAACCTTCTTCCAAATGATTATGATTGTGCTTCCAAAAAAAAAAACACAGCAGTTTTAACAAAGCCTTGCTGCTTTAAAGACTTTAGATTATTTAAACAAAATCAACCAGTTCCAAGAATATTTCAACTCTAAAAAAGGGCCTGTAAATGAAAAGAAATTCTCATAAAGCTAGAAATCTATATTGTGGGAAAACTAGAACCCACCCATGTTTTAGCCAGAAAGCACCATCTAAAGAAATGTAGACTTGAACCACGGTACACACTAAGGCAACAGAACTAATAATTTATCAGAGGAAGTTGAGAGAGAATTATTATTAAAAACACCAGTAGCTTTTTAGAATAGTGAAAATTCATTCCACATCTTTTAGAAATGTAGGTGTCACTTATCATAATCTTTCAGTTCAGGTTTATATTCAGTATACTGTGGTTTAAGGGAGAAAAAAGATGATGCCATATGGCTGGCTGAACAATACCTGATCAAAAATGATTTAAACAAAAGGTTTTAAAGTTTGTTTTAAAAAATGACCAAAATGTGTATGAAATTTAAAATCCTGCAAACGCCATTACCTTCAGTAGTCTGTTATTCCATAAAGGCTGAGCAGGTAAAGAGAAGAGTTTTTCCACTCCTCCTGTCTCTTTCCACATCATCAATTTCTTGGTGGGTGGTGCCAGATCCAAAGTAGTAACAATGTCAGAATAATCACTAAGCTGGGCTCTAATTGTCTTGCTATCCAACTCTTTGACACTGTCAACAATGAGCTTCCTCTTCCTCTTGGCTTTTGTTTCTTTGACTGGCATGATAAAAAGAAAATAAGGTCATCTTTCTGAGGCACCAGCATGAACCATACAACTTTAGTCTCATTTTATTTCTGCCTTTCTACATGCCTAGAAGAAATGTTAAAGTTAAACGAGTACAGAATCTATTTTAACTGATGTTTCCCAAGCATCATATAGAAGCTGACGTATGATAAATGTTCAATAATTTGCTGAATGAATATGTATAGACTTTTAGCACAAAACGCCCCCCCCCCAAAATTGTAAGAACCAATTCATTTTTGCTCATGTAGTTTTATACTGTAAACACGAAACATACTACACCTCATTCAGAGTTAGACTCAAGCGCTAGGTTTTGCAGATTAGGTAAGTGACCATTGAAAAAAGTTAACTTCACTTTATTTCCTCATCTGAAATATGGCCAACCATTTACAAGGGATTGTAAAATATTTAGTATAGTGTCTGGCAGTAGATTGAGGACTCCATAAATGGTTGCAAGTACTATGGTTTTTATTAGAAAAGTGACAATTCATATACAGCAGCTGCATAAGCAGCTTGATAAAGTGAAACAAGCCCAAACCCAGTTAGATGAATATGAAACTCCATCACTATACACTTTGTTTGTTCATTTATAATCCTTACTAAATTCTTACAAAGCAGGTAACATGATCTCAGTTTCTTAAGATACAGAAAGGCTCATGGTATTAAATAAATTCCTCAAGATTTCATTCTGTCATACGTTATATAAATCTATTGGTTTTAAAGATAAAATATGCACGTGGTTTAAAATTCAAAAATATGTTACAGAGTGACAGCCTCTGTCCAGCCCCTGTCCTCCAGCTACTGAGTTCCCTTCCTTGAAATTAAAAGTTCAAGTTCTTGTAACAGCTGGCTAAGCTCAACTGTCTTAAACAATGCAGTATTTGTCCTTACTTTTTAAAACAGAGCTCTGTGATATCTGTCAATAATACAGTACCTAATTTACTCAATGATCCAGGCTCCCATACTGCTGAAATTCCGTGAGGAAAGGCTTGTTCGTTTTTATAAGTTCAGTTCCTAAACTGAGTTCATTACACAGAAAGTACTCTTTTTAAACCGGAAGCCAAGTGCCAATTTTGGTGATCGGATTCTAAGTAGGAAATCTCGACAGTTAATCTTGTTTTAACTTAGAAGGAATAACAACATCTTGAGTCACACTGTAAATGACTTATTCTATTCCACCATATCCATAAATCATTTAGAAATTTTTAAGTTTCACATCCAAATTACATATTGCCTCTTCTACTAGAAGAGGCACCTCCAATTATACTTTGCTATGCTTCTTATTTCAGCACTAAAACTGAATAGTCAATCTTGTTATTCTACTGAAAAATGCCTTGCAGTGTTTTTAAACTGTTATGCATGTGACCTGTTTGCATTTTTGTAACCCCCAAAGACTGAGATACATATTTGCAGAAAGCCTGTTTTATCCTTTGGAAGTTGTTTCACAGCAACTTGTAAAAACATTCTTTAAGATACTAAAATTGTCATTGATTAAAGATTCTAGAATAGATGACGGACAAAGGAGAAAAGTTATTTAAAATGAGTTACTGGAAAGTGTGTTTGCTCACCAGTGATATCAATAGGTTCCAAAGCAAAGGCTTCCTCTTCATTTGGAACAAGCGTTGTCTGATCAGTCATAGTTGGCATTGGTTCGACAGGATCCACTGAATCAGGACTATCAGGCCCACCCACTATAAAAGCAGAAATTTGGTCACAAAAGGCTTGGAATTTACCATACATCCAACAAATGGTAAGGAAAAAACCCCTCTGAGTAACTGAAAGAAACCCACTGGTACCAAAGAGAACACATTTTTCTAATTATGAGGTCTCTCCCGTTGACCTACTGGCCAAAACACAGGGAGGAGCACACGGTTCAACACGTCAGAGAATCAACCACAGGCACTTCTTGAGAGTCACAGTTCATTAAAAGCTGTAATGTTTAGTTTTTGGTCTTCTACATGAAATATGTTTTTGGATGCCATACAATCACATGCAATCACTGAGCATGAAATGCTTACTTGACACGTTATCATCCTCGTCCATATCATCGTGTGCAGGCTGCTCGGGCAACATCACCCCCGCCTCAGACAGGGCAGGGGGGTCGTCAAAGATACCACCATCATTATTACTAATCAGCTTGTCATCTGAAATAGGGAATGTAACTTAGTTGCAGTTTAGAAAAGAAATGCTGAAAGAACAGATGCCAATCACTGGGAAAATAAAATTATGTCAAAATGTATTTAAAAAATTTAAATTTGTATTCAGTATGCATCTGTTCTCTTCATGGTAGTATACAGAAGTATTAAATACTTCCATACATGAAAAAATGTCTCCTTAATTTTAAAACTTATACTTACAGACACAAATAAGAGAAGCCTGAAGAATCAGTAAAACTTAAAATTCCAAGACAAGCACTTATAAACAAAATTAGGTATTGCTAACATTTTAAGGTTACAGGTTTACAGATAACTTCAACTGAACCAACTGATCACAATTCACATACACATACCTAGAGAGATGCTCAAGACTGAGAATTAGCAGCCTCTCCAGAACACTGCAACTAAATAAATTATGTTAAGAGTAATCACCTTGTAGTGACTTACCTAATATACCACCATCATTTCCTTCTCCAAAATTGTCATCCTTATATTGGTCTTCATATTCTAAATGGTTAATTTTCTCATTAAGATTGCTGGTGCTCTGCTCAGGCTCTAATAGGAGGTTAGAAGCACCAGTGCTTGCTAACATGTCATCATCCTCGAAAGCGCTGCCTTCTCTCATTATCTCACGATCATCCATTCCAAAGTCACCTAAACAAATTTTAGTCAGTCATTAGTTGAAAAAAGTTAGAAATACTGCTGACACAAAAGAAAATGCCTTATGATTTAATTATAACGCCATATTTGCCTCATAAATATTTGCCTATGTATCTCTGAATATGAAAACATCTGGTTTAAGCTTTAAATCTTCAGCATCTACACTGCATAAACTGATTCTGGGGCATGATCAGAAAATTCAAATATAAGATCCAAATTTAGGTTGTCCCAAATATGTTATGTGACATAACTTTAACATTACAGCTAGTGGCTAATGATTTCTTTCTCTATTACCAAAATCATTTTCTTGTAGAATACTGATGTTTCCAACTTCTTCTCTCATAGTTATCTCTTCCACTCTACTCTGGTTCAGGCTGAACTGCTGGGCCACATCAATGTCACTGTAAAAGAATTTCAAAACACTTTAGTCTCAATTCTCACTGTACTGTTTTATAAGGGAAAACATATCTCAATTCTGTAAGGGGGAAAAAGGCATACACACAACCTGTGGAGCCTAAATATTTGACATTAAATAAATGCAATCCAAGAATCTAAATGATTTAGAAGCAAATTTCATTTGTATTTAAATTTTAAAAATGTTAATGACCAGTGAGCAAAATATAAGTATGCTGAAATCACTACACAAAGCAACATGGTATACAGAGAGGAAGAACTTAAGAGACGCATGGGTTACAGAACCATGGGTTTTCATCAGGTCCCTGCAATTTATCGGCTGTGTGAACACTGACGTTAACTGGCTTTTCTGGAACTCTGTTTAATATGAACCAACCTCAGATTGGGTTATAGTGTAGCATGCATTTAGTGGGGGAAAAACACCTGCACACAGGAAGACCCTTGCAGGTGAAACTGGTGTTAAGGGTCAATTGTACACATTAAATAAAACTGGCAATGTATCAATAATGAAAGAAACTGGATGATCAGTACCTGGAGCTCATAATACTAATCACTCTTACTTTCTAGCTGTTTTAAAAAGGAAAAACTTCACCATAAAAATTAAAAAAACAAAACAAAAACAACACCAAGTATAAAGAGAAAAAGTAAAGCAGTCAAATAGTATCTAGCACTAATTAACACAATAAATTCAAAGTAAATAATAAATTTATAATTATGCCAGATTGTTTTTCTAAAAAAGCAAAAAAAAAAATTGTTAAAAAATAAACAGGGCTTGATGTAGAGGGTTTCCTGGTTAATTGTGCTACTTAATCACTTAATAACAGTCACATTCCCTGTCATGGTAATAATAGCTGGATGCTGAAGACCTGAGAAGAGGTAAACAACATACCACAGTACTTTGTTGTAATGGTCATCTCTGTATAACTTTCTGTTCTCAAATGTGTGCTGTGACAATGACCTTCACTCGCTCTTTGAATAAAGTTATCTCACATGCTTATTAAAAAAAAAAAGAACAAAACTTGTGGCTGAGTATAGCTTGGTCAAGATGATAAAATGGTAGACTTTAGTAAATACCTCTGAAAAAAAATCATGAAGCTACAGTTCAAGTTTACTGATATCATTATGTAAAGCGAACAGCTAGACAGCTGTTCGCTTTACATAATGGCCTAAGCAAATCAGAATTCTCTTTAGCAGTGTTAAAGCTGATATCATTTACATGGTTTTCTTATAGAAGAAACACTTCTGGGTTATGTTTCATATTTATATACTATCATAAATACAGCATATGCATTTTGGCTACATGTTAACTCGATGTCAAAACATCCCAAGGAAACTATGTATTTGTAAGCCAATAATGTTTTTTGGTACACCAAGTCAATAATTAAAAAAAAGAGAGAAAAAGAGAGAGACATACTCTAAGTCAGGCAGTGGCTGATCAAAATCATGAAATTCTTCAGGTAAAGTAATGGCATTGTACGCAGCTTCTCGATTTTCCTCAGGCAGGTCAACAACACCTGGAAAAGTAACAGGAAGCTTGAAGCCCTGGCTATACCGAAGATCATCAAGGGGTGCAGGAAGGCAAACTGTCAGTTTAATTCCCCAAGGTTCTATTCCAGGAGGGCTGCTTCAGCACCACTGAGGCACAAGCACCTCAGTGTCCTCTATAATCGCCAGTCACGCTTCTTGTATCACAAGAGAATGGGCAAAGCACTAATTATGAATTTAACTGAGAAATCTTTAATAAAGGACATAGCAACAAATAAGTATTAGCAACAGCTTTCTATATAAGCATGAAATTTATGAGAAAAAGGAATGACTGCAAAAGAGTATCCCAAATGTTAAGAGGAATTAGTTCTTTTAGAAAAGTGGGATTAAATTATTTTTATTTTCTTTACATTTCCCCTTATATTTTAAAGTGGTCTATAATAAACATCATTGATTTAAAAAAGAAACAAAATATTATTTTAGCAAAATACTCTTAGTAGACACAAAGTAGAAAACAATCAAGTATCACGGCCTCCGCTTAAGCATTTCACTTTTAATCAAATCTTAGAATCTCAAAGATTTCACTATTCATGTTACAATAATTTAAATAGAATACAACATCAGTAGAAATGAACAATATAAAGCAGCTCCCCTACACATTGAGATTATTTTAATCAGAATAAAATTTCGTCAATACTTCAAAAAAATTATACAATTGTAATTATCTAGGCAGATGGAAGTCTGGTTGCAAGAGTTCAGTTTTAGAAATCAACTATTACCTAAAACAAAACAACAAAGAAATATAGAGAACATTTAATAAAGTTTTAACAACTTCAGCTAAAAGTGAATTTGATTTTAAGACTACATTAAAATTCTAAGATTTTTTTTCTGAGCTGTGTTTTTAAAAACACAGAACAATGAGTTTTCAACACTTCATCACCTCTGATGACTGCTGAAAAAGGAGTTAAAAGGGCAGCTCCAAAGGAATAACAAAAAAGGTCTGCCATAATTCCATTCACAGAACAAAAATGAAATGGGCTATCTCCCTTGAAACACTGCCTCTCCAAGCTTTGCCCATTTTTGAAGGGCTCCTTGTATTGCAATTAAAACAAACTATGCCCATCTAGAAATACATGCTTAGCAGTTTTTCACCCTCAACACAATGAACTTCAAAGTTAAAACAAAAAAGTCAACAATACCTGGCCGAAAAGCCATCTTTATTTTAATGAATGCCTCATTACAATCTGCCAGGAGGTATTTGGCTTTTCTGTGATAGATTCGAACTACTCCCAGTAAGAGATGTCCTGATGTTCGGAGTGCCATCTTCACCTGCGGATTAACATTAATTTATACAGTAATATTCTGGTTTTAGAGAAAAATTCAAAGCCTGTATGTTGTGCAATTTATAGGCAGTTTATATCTCTTCATACTTTTAACCATTTATTTGAAGTTACCTCATAATCATGTATATATTTTCTCACCTGTAAATTTCCTGAGTATACCCGAAAGACAGACAGAAACCCATGAATTAACATGGATATGAATGTAGCTATGAGGCAAGTATTAGGCAACCCATGAATTGCTATCATTAGCACATTAAGTATGTGACACTTCTGGATGCCAATCCAGAGTCCCTGCTCCCTGTCAGTTAACTGAACTCTGATTTTATGTGGGAAGTGAACATCCCCAGACTTGAAAAATGATGGTCTTGTTCCTCTCTGCTGATGCTTGTTTCTGAGTGGGCATATAACCTAGTTCAACTAACAAGGAGTATTAAGTAGGTCAGAGAATTCTGAGATTTTCCCAATTAAAAAAACAAAACAAAAACCTCCACAAAAAAACTGAACCCCCCCTCCCTTCTTCTCCCCTCCCTGTGAGTAGGTGGGGCTCACAGCGGCTTGCAGCAGCCCTGTAACCCAGGGTGTAAGCATGAGGACAAGAAGCCAGCAAACTAAGAAAGGGGGGTCTAGGTGAGTCCTTGGATGACATGCTTGAACTGCTGAACCAATCCTAGATCTGCCTACTTCTAAAACTTTTAGTTAAACCAGACCACTAATTTCCTTACTGTTTAAGCCACTTTTCACTTAATTTTTATTACCTGAAAATAAAATTTAGCTGGAAAGCACACTAACCTATAGTGGATAATAGTACTCTTTTTTTTTTTTTTAAACAAGAAATCATACTCCTCAGCCTGTATTTTATCAAGGTGGATCTTGATCAGTGTTTATGAGGGGGTCCAGACTGTGGGATGAGACACAGTAGTTGGGAAAAGAATGAGGGAATGAAACCCTCAATCTAAACAGAATCAGAATTCCTCTGGTTACCATAAGATTTTCTAAAAGCACAAGAAAATATGAGTGCAATTTTATCAGATTGTTTTCCAGATCACACCACAGAAACATCAAATTCTAAGGTAGCAAAGAAAGCTGTTAAATATTTGCTTACAGATTAACTTATGATTATTATACCATGTTACTTATAACTTACAATACAATGTGTTGTATTGTACACTCCCTATAGCAGTCTAGGATTCTATTAACAATAACTCAGAATCTACATTTATGGTCACATCACATGACAGCATAAAATCAAGTTTAGAGTTATAAATTCTTATTTAAAACTGTAATAAATTTGTGACTAAATCTAGGTCACATCCGATGATGAATCTCTTACCCAATTAAAACGCGCTTTTAATGGAAAAATGAAACTCTCCCTTTATGGTTTGCCTTAGGAAATTTGAAATTAATAATGACTACACCTAACCCTTCACCTGAGAAAAAAGGAGACAAAAAACTCAACCGTGGCAAGCCATTATCTTGTCCAGAATTAGCAACTTTTAGAAGATTGTGTATGGAAAACAGAGTAGTGGGTACCTTAGAAGAAGGGGATGGGGGAAAGGCAAAGGGTATGGTAATGGATGGAAACAGAACTTTAGGTGGTGAGTACGTTGCATGGTATACAAAAGTAGAAATACAAAGTCTATTACATAATGTTACAAATCAGTATTACCTCAAAGTAAATTACTTAAAAATGAAGATAACAGTTCCCTCATTTAAAAAAAGGTAGTGTTTGGGCAAAGGCTTTTCTTTCTTTCTAGATTAGTTTGGTTCAGAGTTTAGAAGGAGATAAAATGAGGTGTGGAATTTCTGCGGCTGAGCTTGCTCATTATTAAGCTTGTAGGTATGATCAAGAACATAGGATATACATCCAAGGACAGCCTGCAGGGGCTAAGAGGGACCGTTCCAACCAGAACGGGGTGAAGGCATAGAGTTTTTAGTGGGCCATCTGTCTGACACTTCTTGTAAACGACTAAATCAACATTTCCCCACAAGAACCATGCAACGAGAGCAAACATTAGAAATTTTTAGGTCATCTCATCCTGTGGAGATATCTATTGTGATATATTCTATCATAATAAACCAAAATTAAAGAAAAACAAGACTTAGAAATGATTTTAAAGTTATGTGTCCCTAATGGCATACAAAGTACTCTGCACATATTATGAAAAAATGTTCTTTTAAAAGCCAAATCAGCTTCAGTATTTGCTTATGGATTTTGTTAAAGATTAGCCACACATATCCATTTCCAGAAAAGAGTTCAAATTCTCCTTTCTCCATTTACTTAACTCAGTAAGCATACCTATAAAAAGAAAACATTTTTCAATTGGACCAGCAGTGCATGTTGGTACAACTTCCCCACAGAATACACTGCTAATGCATCAGATATCTTAAAAATAAGTACATCACCTGCTCCAACAATCATATTCCTAAAACATCAACATTAAGGAAAGACAGAGAACAAAAGATTTTACAAATAACAGTTACAAAATGGTTGTTTTTTTAAAGAGGAAAATAAAACTTGTAATCATACCACCTAGAGCAATCTTTAGTAATATTTTAACATGCTTTCTATGCTTTTATATGTGCATACACACAATTTTCTTTTTGTGTATGTGTATAAAAAACTGCATATTGTTTTGTAATGAGCCTGTATCCAGGAAAAGCTCTGTCCATAGCATTACTGTAATTTTTAATGGCTGCATTAAAATACCAGAGGAATTAAATTCAAAATTTGGGGAAAAATATGGATTAGCTCCCTCCTTTCAAAAAATGCAGCTGGTAAAATAAATCAAGCACAATCATAACAATAAATTACAGGTCCATTATCCTTGATCTGAAGTCCTAGGGGTCAAATGTGTTTTGGAATTCAAAGCTTTTTTGAATATTATAAAGTTAATGCAGTGCACTGCCATTTATCAAAACATTCCCTGGAGTGTCTGCAACAGCCCCCCCCACCCCCCCATAATCATACACATTAGTGCTTCCACAGTGAATTTATGAAAACACAAATGACCTCACTTCAATTACAGTCGAGTGGGTTTCTGGGTTTTTGTGTGTATTTTAAGTTCTGTGCATAAGACACTATGACACTGTACAATACAGCTGCTAAAATGATGGCAGAGTTAGGAACAGAGCCTCTCCTGAATGCAGTCTTGTTACAAAACATACAATGCAGTTTTTGTATACATGCATTAAAAGGGAGAAAAATTACATGTATAACACATGCACCCATGAAAGTCTAGAAGGCATACCAAAATATTAAAGGTTTCTCTAGGTGGTAGAACTAAAGGTCACTTATTTTCCCATTTGCAGAAAGTCCAATAAATTCTACAATAATAACTCTAAAACTGGCTGAAGTTCCATAGAAACTTTATAATGTACTCTAATTCCAAATAAAACTTTCACTTCTCTCCTGTAAAACATTTTTCTACATAACTTTCTGAACAAGTCTCTGCTATATCCCAGCTTTATTTCTGGGATCCTCTTGCTCTTTCAGCAATAAAGAACTACTCTCATTTAACTGTCAATTCTAACAGTAGCTCCCAATACTGATACAGAGACGTGCAATCTGGAATCTTTAAAAACAGGAAAACTGGTAGATGTATGTGTATATGCATATGTATAAATACAACATCCAGGAAAGGACCTTTAAAACACAGACATAATATATGTATAAAAAAATTACATTCAAGGCCCTTCATACATTTAAAAAATCAACCTGTTTATTCCTCAATGAAATGCTAATGATGTTAGTAGCTTTGCGTCTGTGTGTTTTAATGGTCCATCTTTGGCAACACAAAAACCGTGTATTAAGTCATACTATTTGTGAAATCCAAGGGTGGAAACCACTGCTTCAGAAGTTTCATAGGATATCAAGAAAATCTCTAGAAACAGAGCAGCAAACAAGGCAGATAAGGTTAGGACATTCACAAGCCTTCCATTCTAGTGGTACACAGTAATTAAATATTTAGGGAAAGTGCATGGCCAAGTACAAAATTTCAATGATGGGAAAAAGGTTGGTATCTTCAAGAAATAGCAAGCAGGCCTGTGAAGCTGAGGTGGAGCAAGTGTTCTGGAAACTGTTCACTATGTGGATAAAGTAGTTGGGTCTGGCCCCTGTAACATTTTCCAAATAATGGGTCCTTATTTTGAAAACTTTATATAAATTCTATAAATTCCTCAATCAAAACAACTATACTCATATTTAGTATAAAAACATCTACAAAGTCAAATATAAAATATTTGGGTACTGCCAGACCATGCTTATCTGTCATTAAAAGAGGCAAATGAAAATTATCTTTGTACTCACAACACAATTTTTAGAGAAGAGAGTATCAAATTTAGACTCTGGCTAATCTATGGATTTTCTTTACCCCCAATATACACAGATGCCTGCCTAAGAACTCGTTTTTATAGAATTCTATTTCACACATCAGTGAACAATCAACAAAGTGAATAAAAATATCAAAATCAAACATACCTTTGGTGAGATGATGCTCTCCACACTGCTCTCTAAATTACACTCAAACACATGGGCTTTGGTTAGCTTCTTATCCCAGTGGGCCGCAAGCCAGATTTTGGCCAGTGGCCCTCTTTTACTGAGGACAAAATGTGCGTAGAACATTGTTCTGGTTGACTATGAAACAGGAGGAAACCTGAGGGGGAAGAAAAATTAATACAAATGCCACATGAGAACTGAATTATCAAGATGTACAAGAAATCTGGCTCCCCTGATGGCTCAGTTGGGAAGGAATCCACCTGCCATGCAGGAGACCCCAGCTGGATTCCTGGGTCAGGAAAATCCCCTGGAGAAGGGAAAGGCTACCCACTCCAGTACTCTGGCCTGGAGAATTCCATGGATTGTATAATGGGGGTCTCAAACAGTCAGACACGACTGAGCGACTTTCACAAAAAATCTGAAATGTTTCCTTTTCTTTTAAATCTGAGAACTATGTATGAAAGGCTCAAGTGAAGTTGAGTATGAATTAAAGCAACCTATTGTTTAATTTTGATAGCATTAAGAAAAAGACTGCCCGCCCATACTAAGGTGAAAAGGGGACAAAGGTCAGATCACTTTCATGCCACACTGTCATCTTACAATAAAAGTGTTAGTATGTTTTCTCACTTTAAGTAAAAGTTGTCATCAGAAAACCTACTCTTTTTGAAGATCCATCCAGTGTTAATTCTATTCCAATCCAGATTACTAACTGTGAAAGTCTGCTTTTGGCCAAAAGTTAGAAAATGTGTTCCTCATGATAAGAAAAAAATGTCCAGGAAGAAAAACACTTGAGCAGAGATATTAATCAATGAGGAAATTTCCATTTTAGAACCCCATTTAAAAATGAGACTCTCAGCCAAATGCATTGTACAATAATTGCTACCTCATGTCAAGCACTTTACATTTCACCAAGTTGATAAGTAAGTGGATTGACCCCATTTTATGAGTAGCTTAGAAAAGCTGAGCCTTAAAAAGAAGCGTTACCAAAGTTTTCTCAACTCAGGAATCTGGAAAGCACTTGCCCTCTTATAATTTAAATACTAAATTGAGAAAATTGATACAGTATACAATTAATCATGACTGAAATATTCTTAGTAGAAATACAAGTATGTTATTTTCCTTTTAGTAATCTAATGTATAAATACCCAAGGCACAAAAACAGCCTGAAATACTCCAGTTTAGAGAACACATGAACTGTGTAAAATGGTAACTTCCCTTATAGCATGTCGTTTTTCTTTTCCACAGATTTTTAAAAATCTTTCACCAAATGAATTTCTATTTTTTTCTAAAATGTCCGTAACTGGAAAAAGGTAAGTCATACTTTTACAGAAAGCATGAAAAGTAAGTAAAATTTTAAAACTTATTTCACACCTATCCCTTGCTCCCTACCATTCCGAGGTTCTGGCCAAACACCAAATCTTCTTTAAACTTTATCATTTTGAGAATGTTACATAAATGGAATCATACAGTATCTAACTTTGGAATAGCTTCTTGGATTCAGCATGTTAAAAAACCTATCAAGGTTCTTGGTGCATGTATTAATAGTTTGTTTCCCTTTGACGCTGAGTAGCATTCCCTGGGATGGGTATGGTACCACAATTTGCTTAGCCATTTTACCTATTGAAGGACATTTGGTTGTTTCTAAGTTTTTTGACTATATCAAATAAAGCTGCTATAAATACTTGTGTATACAGACTTTTGGTGAATATAAATTTTCACTTTCCAAGACAAATAGTCTGAGCTGTGACTGGACGGACAGCACAATAAATATTCTTTTAACTTTTAAAGAAACTTAACACTGCTCTTATCAAAATTCTAGTGAGGCTTTCTTAAATAAGCTGCTGACAAGATTTTTCTAAAATTCATAAGGAGAGGCAAAAGACCTAGCATAATTAAAACTAATTTGAAAAACAAAAACTGTGAAGACTCATTCTACCCAATTTTAAGACTCATTTTAACGGTAGAATAGTCAAATACTGTGTGACCAGAAAGACACACAAATCAATGGAACAGAGTAGAGAACACAGTAATAGATCCACACAATTAAGTCCAACTGATTTTTCACAAAGATGCAGAATTCATAGGAGGGAGGTAGTCTACTAGTCTTTTTGACAAATGACACTTCAGTGATTAGATATCACCCCAAAGGCAAAACAAACAACAACAAAAACACAAAACCCTCAACCCAAATCTCACACATTATATAAACATTAAATTACAGACTTAAATATAGAACTATAAAATTTTAAGGGGGAAAAAAACCCCACAAGAAAACACCTTAACACCTAAAGCTTTGTAAGAATTTTAAACATCACACCAACAACATGTCCCATAAAGGGGTGAAGAACCTATTATGAAGGAACCCACTGAGGATGCAAAGACAAAATAGAAAATGAGAAAACGTACATGCAAGCCACGTATCTGAGAAGGACCTGGATCCAGAATATATATCAAGAACTCTCAAAACTAAAGAGTTAAAAAAAAAAATCCCACTAGAAAAGGGTGGCAGGGGGGGAATTTCAAGGAAGAGAAAATACTGAAGGCAAATTAAGAACAAGAAAGATGCTCAGCATCGCTAGTTAGGAAAATGCAAATTAAGACTCAATGAGATATCACTGCACACCTCTTTTAAGAGCTAAAATAAAAAATAACAGCAACAGCTAATGCTGGTGAGGGTACAGAGAAGCCACATATCTCATAAATGGCTACTGGGAATGCAAAATTTCCTTTTGAATTAGCTTAAGAAAAAAAGATCCAGGCTAAGTCAACTTGAATTTTCATGCTTTCATAAAGGGACCCTAACTTTAAATAAGAACTTTGCTTACTGTACTTTCAATTAAAAACTGTGCTCATTCTTTCCAGTAAGGTACAGAAAATACATATATATTAAGCAATTCCAGGCAAGAGATTTCACACCTGTCAAAAATGTTTGGGAAGGTGGTGGTTCAAGAGTAATACGGTCAGGTTTGCCTCATCTTGATGTCAATAATTGATGGAATTTTCTCTCTGAACCAGATGCTTTCAGGGAATCATTAATTCACACTAGGAAAATTTTTTCAAAAGAAAAAATTGGCTTCATCAACTGCCTAAAGTTGTGAAGTTTTTCTTGCACATGTGGAGTTAAGAAAAGAACTAAAGAAGAATTCAGGTCATTCTGAAGTAAAAGGACTGACTCCCCACCCCACAAAAGCAAAAAAAAAAAAAAAAGAAAAAAAAACAACAGCACCTCAAGTGTACCTTATACCCTAGTAAATCAAAATATGCTTCCCATAATCAAAAAGAGCCTCCTATGTTATAGCACTTCTACTTCAAGCCTTAAAGTTTGTTAGTGTAAAAATCAGGCTGCCTCTATAGCATTATAAATATAATCCACAGGATTTTGTAGAAATCCAATACGGCTTTGAAATGTCACTAAAAACACTGACTTAGAAATATAGTCGCTGTTACGCAAAATAAGCCCCAAGTTTTACTACAGGAGACAGTCATGTTCCAAATAAGTTAAAAAACCTATTTAGCTCCTACAACACTCTGCTGCATGTCAAATACTAAATATGTGTTTAATGAAAATGGAAATGAAATACACCAAGTGATCTCATAATTGATACATGTAAAAAATTTTGGAAATTTTAGAAATTGAAACTGGCATGTCTCAACAGGTGTCAGTAGCTCAGGACCAGCACTTCAGCTGCTGGTTAAGAGTTCCACGCTTAAAATACCCCAGCTATGTCCAGGCAGAGATTCCTAAACAGATGCTTTCTTGGCATTGGATGGGGAGTAACTAAAGCAGAGTGGTGCTAAAATTAATCTGGGAAACAATTAGCAAGAGGAAATCACCTTAATAACTAAAGGAAGCCTGATGGGACAATAGTGATCAACTACTGACTTGTATCTAAGTAAGAGTAAAATCTGGTCATCCTCACTTTTTGCAGCATTTCTTTCCCTTACTGATACCAAACCTTTAGCCTGCCCCCACCCCCACAAAAAAAGGTTGGTAAAAAGTTCTAAAGATTCTAAATTTTGGAAATCCCTTACAATAGATCTTAGCAGAAAGCCTACATTTCTGCTTACCAGAAACATAGCTTACCAATTTCATAATTTCTCCATTTATTTCTAAAGCAGCAAACAACTTTTAAAAACTGATCCTAAAAAGTAATTTAAAAAATTTGATATGAAATGGCAGAGTAGTATTTAGGAACATATTCAGCAACGCAAAAAATGGCACTTTCTTTTAAGATATTTCAAAAAAACCAGTCAAATTACAGCTCATGTTTCTACAATGATGTTAAATCATTCCAATATTTCACTCATCTGTTGGAAAGCAGGGCAAGATAGTGGTTGTATAAACTGGTATGCCCTCTTTGAAGGGCAATTTGGCAAAATCTTAATACTCTCCAGCCAGAAACTGGGCTTCCATTAATAAGCCAAAAGTATACTTGAGGATTTATAATAATGACAGATCAAAAATTAAACTTACTAAGACCTAAGAATTTTACGTGTCCATCCTCTTCATGACAGTCTTAGAAGATAAATACTGGCCCATTTTATAGACCAAGAAAGAAAAGAAGAGGTATAAGGAACTTGGCAAAGGTCACCAGTAATCAATGCAAATGCAACTTTAACTTCAGAGCCCACAAAGTCTAACTAAATGTTTTGTTGCCTTGCCAGCTCGACTACAAAGTATTAGGAAGAAACCTACCTAGCCCCTAATAAGTGATTTTAAGCAAATCAATACAATCATGCAATAAAATTCTATGCACTCTCAAAACAATGATAAAGTATTGAAAAGATAGTTCTCTCTATATATGTATGTTAACACGCACTTGCAGGAGCATAAAATATCTGCAAAGTGAAAACAGACTGATAAAGTGGTCACCTTTGAAAAGTAGGTCCGGTGAGAAAGTAAGGCCTACCCTTCTGCACTGCCAGACTTTTTTTTTAACTCAAGGCATACACAAATGTCACCTATTAAAAGTAAAAACAATTCTATTGGGAGTACTTTCCCAGTAACTAGTGAATTAAGCTGGTTATTCTGTGGTGTTCATTTTTCCTAACCATAAAAAACTGGAAGGTGGAAATTCAGTGATTACTAACCTCGGAAAACAACATCTAACTCAGGTAAGAATGGA